ACTTTAGCTGTCAAAATTTCTCAGTAGGATTACAGGATTAAGCAGGAATCCTTGATTTAGAGCCTGCTATTCCATACTGTTCTCATGAAAACACAATCCTATGATTGCTACTAATAGGATTTTACAATTGGCCTTACAGCAACTGAGCAGCCACCAAGGAGTCTTCAGCCTTACACCAATTCCAGACTTAGCTGTCTTTGTCTTATGCTTTCTAGAATTTTAACTCCTACCATAACTTTACTTTTAGCTAACAGATGACCTGTGTTGGCTTCAAAACTTGCTGGTAACATATATTTTCACCTTGTTTTGCAGAAAGCAGTACTAAAGCCAGCTTTCACTCCTGTTGCCTATAAAACACAATCCATCAGTTGCCACCCTCTAGGGAGCTGGTATATGCTAGGATCATGGCTGGTATGAGTAGGATAAAAGATGTCCAGCAAGTTCTGTGTGAATTTTGGGTTAGGGTAACCTTAATTCTCAAGTTTATCCCACACTCCTACTTTAATGACACTCTCACATCACCTACTGAGGAGTATCCATAAGTCATCATGATTCTTCCAGTGTCTGTGAGACTTAAGGGGTCTTAAAACTCTTAGGATCCATGCATTTTGTAGAGTCACAGAATGGGTTGTGTGGGAAGGGACCTTAAAGATCATCCATTTCCAATTTCCCTGCCATGGGGAGGGACATTTTCCAGTAGATCAGGTTGCTCACAGCCCCAGCCAACTTGGTCTGGAACACTTCCAGGCATGGGGCATCCACAGCTTCTCTGGGAAACCCATTCCAGTGCCTCACCACCCTCACAGTAAAGAATGTTTTCCTAATATCTGATCTAAACCCACTGTCTTTCAGTTCAAAGCCATTTCCCTTTGTCCAATCACTACATGCCCTTGCAGAATGTCCCTCTCCAGCTTGTTCTCATTGTGTCCCATAGTCCTCTGTTTGCACCCTAAAGGCTCCAGTTTAGTTTTTGGCCCTCTTACAACCCCTCTTTTTTCAGTGTGCCCCCTCTGTTAGTGGTTGGAACCCACATCTTCAATCCATAGTCTGAAACATAAGCCTAACTCCTAACCTTTGTTAGAGCTGAATAATTAAGGAATGAATTTCAGCTAGAAGGTGGTAATCACTGAATGACCATCAGGAAAAACTTCACTTCCTGAAACTGCTACCAAAGCTCATCTCTGAGGGGTTTTGGTTATGGCTCATGTAAGAATAAAGTGGGAGACCTGACTCCTGGGTACACAGAGCCTTTTTATACACTGGCACCTCTACCAATCACATAAACCTCTCTAATCTGGTTTATAAATCCTGGGTTGTTGGGTTGTGTTTAATGAACAAATTGGAAGTTCTTTACAAGTTGCCTTATGCTTCCAGCAATTGGAGAGGAGAGAACATGAAATTATACAAAGACTAAGAAAAATGATAAAAGGTAACACTACTAGCTTCCTGCATACAGGATACTTGCAAATGTTACTCAATTCAGTTTGCATGCACTGCAAAACTGCTCTGTCCCACCAAGTTAGTGTCAGAGAGAAGGATTTTAAGATAAATTATCATTCATGTGACATCCTGCTGTATATTCAGTTTAGATAAAAATTAAAAGAGTTTCCATATTGCCCATCATGTCTTTACCGTCAGTACTAATTTATAGTCCCAAGATCAGTTCAATTTCTACATTGTGCTATTGTAGCCCCCTTGCTCACATCTGAATACTTAAACTGATTCAGAAATAGCTGCTCCAACTCTTGGCAGTATCTGATATAAAGACTGCTATTCAGCCTTCCTCTTACTCCCAAAATCACCAAGGATAAGGTGTGTTTGTGACCCATTCCCCTCAAGACCAGGTTCCACTCGTGTGCCTGAAGGAGGTCACACAAACCAACTGCCTCTTGGAGACTGGGAAGGCAGGGCATTTCCAACTTTGGATTGCAGTGGGCTGCAAACACATGTACCTGGTTAATCCTGACATGTTAACATATTCCTATAATGACTCCCTCATTTATTGTATGCATATTTCCTTTTTGGGGAAAGAAGCAGGTTGTTTCCTTTTTCAGAGGTAGCTTGAAATTTTTGGTCCCATAGGTGTTGAATGTAAGGTAGATTACAACTTAAGCCAACAAAAAACAGTTAGAAGTTGTTTTATTTCACTCTGTTCCTTTCCTAACTTTATTCTGACCCTCCCTTTGGGGTCATTTATTTCTCACATTAGTTAGTTGTTCTTCCCGTTTGGGGATTTGGTAGTTTTAGTGAAACATTTAAAGGAGTAGACCAAGCAAACTCTATCCTTATTTGGCTAAGAATGTTTGTTCTGCTAATATCTGAATATAAAAACAACCTAATACTTGGGACAAAAGCAGGGACCATCCTCAGGAGACTTTTCAAGCTCCTAGTTTTGTTCAAACTTTTCAGGAGAGACTGTTTAACTCTCTTGGAAAGATTTTTGTGATTGGTTGGGTTTTTTGTTTGATTTTTTCTTTTTTTTTGGGTAGCATAATCTCAAGATATAGATTTCACCTAGAGGAATGGATGTATGAGATGAGCACAATGGGGTATTTCTTTCCTCTGTGACCTTCCCTTCCCTTCCCTTCCCTTCCCTTCCCTTCCCTTCCCTTCCCTTCCCTTCCCTTCCCTTCCCTTCCTTTTCATGATCTTTTTGTCTTTCTCACTTTCTTGCTTTCTCATATCAAAAAATAGGAAACAAAATTGCAAGTTGACTTTTTTTTTTTAAGATGGCACGTGGTGGCACATGAGATTTTTTTTCTTTGGATCTTAACATCCCCAAATAGATTTTCTACTCCCTTCATGTTTGTTTGTTCAAACTAGGTCTCTTGGTATTGTAGCAGCTCAGGACAACTTTCCATATACTGCCCTTCAGTTCCCACAAGAGTTAAATCCCAGGCTTTCAGCTAGATGAGTTGCCAACTACTGAGTGATGCCATTTGAAGCTAAGCCTCAGATGATGAGCCTGGGACCCTTTATTTGGCATGCCTCAGACCTTTGGAGCAATGGGAGGACTGCACACTTCTTTTTGAGTCATGGTCAGAGTCACTATTTGCTCCCTTTCTTACCAAAGGCAAATGGTTGGAGAAGGTAAACTTCTACTTCTTCAAGAAAGTTCTTCAACAGCCTCAGGGAAATCTGAACAAACCATGGATGTATCTGGAAGAAGAGGATTCTTTCCATCCTCATCTCTGAATGCTGTCATGAGGGAATGACCTTAGTAAGTCGAGAATTTTTTTTCCTCTTTATTTTACTCTCCAGAGAGAAAACTCCTTTCCTACAGTGATACAAATCAAGAACTTGCTTGAACATATTCATACTCTGTCACTCTTCCATACTTGAGTCTTTTAATTCTCTTTTTCCTTTCCTATTTGCTTTAACTCTTTAAGAAAATAGCTTCTCCTCTCCTTTTTTTCTTCTTCCAACAGCACACTGTTTGAGCACCTTCCCTCTGCCGTTTTTGCAGAGCACTGCTTTTGGGAGGCTTGCCACTCGTTCTGGCCACTGCATTTACTTGTTGCATTCACTCTCCTCTACACATCTCCAGCTATGTTGTTTGTTGCCTTCAGCTGTCTCAGGTGGTGGCATGGTCAAGAACATCATTATTGTTTTGTGCACAGGTTTAAATGCCAGCAAGGCCTGAGGCTTCCTAGGCTCTTTACAGAATGCTCATTCTTAGGCTGTGATATCCTGTCTTAAGCAGCTGTTCTAAAACCAGGAAATGCAAGGCTCATGAGAGAAAAACTATGACTGGGGTGAATGGCTCTCTTTAAATAATCATTGAAGAAGTTGCCCCAGTAAAACTTCTTTACCTTGCATTTGATGTTCTTAACTACTTGACTGTACAGGTAAATTTTCATGTTAATGGACAAGGTAACTTATATGGATGAATCAAGTCAGCTAGATAAGCCTATTGTCAACAGTTAGTCCCTGTTAACATCAGTAAATCCAAAAGTGTCCTGAATGTGACTGTGTATCATCACAGGGCAGCTGGGAACTTAACAGGGAAAGGTGTGTGAAATATTTATATGAAAATCAGCAGAAGCCAATGCTACCAACTCTTTGTTTTGAGATAAAAGAAGACTTACAAAAAGAGACGTTACCCCATAACTCAGCAAAACAGTTAAAACCATTATAACAATGGCAGGGGACCTGAACAGATTGTGGTGATGATGATGATGATGAACAGATGATGAACATGATGTGACAAACAACATCTCCTTGTGATGGGTTAGATTTATAATGTTTGCAAGATATCTGCAATCATGTTAAGTGTTTAGAGTGTGTGAACATGTTTAAATTATGTTATGCTGTGATAAATGGCACTTAAAGCAGGTAAGAAATTGCTTTCTCAAAACAGTGCCATTTTGCCTTTCCTCCACCTCTGTACTTGGAGGAAATACAATGTTGAATAACTACAAATTATTTTTACTTAATTAAATCCCTTTCTGGAAAACGGATGTTGGTATCAATGTTTTTTTTTAAACCAAAAAAACCTATGAGCCAAGTTCACTTGAAATGCATAAGTTTAACTTAAAATTAATGCCATTAACTTCAATAGGAACTGAAGAGACCTCTCTGGGAACAATTTAGGGCTCTAACAAGAGCTACCAATGCCATTTGTCACAACTATATAATGAAACTGTGCAATATGATGGGAACTATGATTGCTTGTCCAAGAGCTCTTTAAGAGAATCTCTTTAGCTGTGGTTTAGCACTAACAGGCTGAGCCCCTCAGAGAAGGCAGGTCAGGATTTCTGCTAGCATGATGGGCTCAGTGATCTTTAACATTGCCAAGAGCAGTTCCAATTGGATTTTAGCTAGCATCAGTATATCAAAGCTGGTATTCCTTTTTCCAAGGCCTTCATGTATGACCAGAAATTGAGGGTCCACAAAAACAGAAGGAAAAGGGGGAGGGGAGGAGCACACAATGCTCACAGTATATTTTTATACATATTTACAGAAGGAAGAGCTGTGCTATCCAAACTTGAGCTTTCCCCATGGATGAGTCAAACATAACGTTTCATCCCAGCGAAGGCACAGAGAACATCTCAATGCACAGAAACATTTCTACACAGGAAAGGGTCTGGGAGATATTGACCCCACTTTGGGTAATTATGATCATCTCCTTCCTGGGTTTTTGTGAAAATGGAATTGTCCTCTGGTGCCTCTGCTTCCAGATCAAAAGAAACCCATTCACTGCGTACATCACACACTTGTCCATTGCTGATATCTCCTTACTGTTTTGTACTTTTATTCTGTCAATTGAGTACATTGCTGGCTTTGGATTCGCATATGGTTTTTACTATTATGTAACCACCACACTATCTATTGTCTTCCTTCTTGGCTATAATACTGGTCTCTATCTCCTGACAGCCATCAGTATTGAGAGGTGTCTGTCTATTGTTTACCCCATCTGGTACCGATGCCACCGGTCACAGCACCAATCGGCAATTGTGTGTGCGATTCTGTGGACTCTGTCTTTTTTCATGACAGTGGCCGAATATTTAGCATGCAAAGATGATTCAACTAAGGAACAATTCGACAACGGCAACCATTGCCAAGCTCTGCTCATCTTCACATGGATCCTGACTTTCATGATCTTCATTCCTCTAATGATTTTGTCCAGCCTGATCTTGGTTATCAGGATTCACCGTAACTCTCTGAGACCTCATTCGTCAAAGCTCTACATCATCATTGTGGTCACAGTCATTGTCTTCCTCATCTTTGCCATGCCCATGAGGCTGTTGTATCTTCTGAATTACCACCACTGGTCATCGTTGCTCAGCCAGCAGAACCATGTCACCATTGTTCTCTCCACTGTTAACAGTAGCATCAACCCCCTGGTTTACTTCTTTGTAGGAAGCAGCAAGAAGAACAGGTTCAAGGAGAGCCTCAAAGTGGTTCTTAGCAGAGCTCTCACTGATGGATTGCGGCCAAGAAGCCAGGAAGTTGGCATGAGTTTGGATATAGCTGAAACAATTTTCTAAAGCTAAGGGGGGAAACTCTAGGGGCAAATAATGGATGTGGAACATTTAATAAACCACTGCAAAACTAAAAGCATTTTCCATAGAATGTAAAAAGCAGAGGTGAAATAGTATTGTTTTCTTTGGTGGTTGAGCAGTGGAAAAACATGGACTAGAATAAAGATTACTTTTGTTTTTTTGTTTTTTTTTTTTTAATTTGTATTTTCTTAATTATTCAAACACATGCTACATCCTGATGTGACTATACCAATCAAAGATACCACACTGAAAAACAGATAGGCCAACAGAGAATATAAAAAAAGGACACAGGAATATGTTATAAATAGTGTGACATTTATAAAAGCACCGAGCACCCATAAATGCTATTGAAGTCATCAGGGCCTGTGTGCGTTCACATTTTTAAAAGTCAAACCCACTAAACACAGGATTCACATTACATACTGGGATTTAATTTCAACTGTTTCCAGCTTGCTTAAGTGCGCAAAAGAGCTGCTCCCTGGGGGAAACAGAGGAAGAAATCCATATATGACAGTAAGTCCCCATACATAGCCAAGTATATACGGCGTAACTTCAATCTAGCAAGACATTTAAGTATATGTTAAATGGCCTAATTAATCTGCTATTAAACTTAAGAATTTGTTTTCAAAGTATATGTTGCGTAATTTCCACTGACACCGAGATGTCTCTGGATCCTTGGATAATTCGGTACTTGACACATAGGAGTCTGGCAACACAGCGATGTTGCCAACTCACAGAGGGCTTTTGCCCTAATTATGAAGGGTGGGGCAGCCTTATCCCCAAAAATGTCAGCATTCCTGTAGGTTTAGGTATTCAAGGAGCCTATGAGAAAGCCAGTCCCAATATTTGCTGTCCCAGCCACGTATGTAGTATTTATCTCTTCTTTGGAGAATATATATTCTCTGTGTGGCCTCTCTGTTTTATATCAACCAGTTTGGAAAAGCAGAAAAAATATAGGTGCCTCACACAATGAATGACTGGAGCTACACACCAGTCACACTGTTCCAGCTGCCTGCTTCCCTCTGTTGTATGCCAGGGTACAGGGGCTGGTATTTCGTGGAGTTTAATTCCCAGGGTCACTTGCCCAGCTATAGCTAAGCTGCAGAGTGCAAAGGACAACAGGAAAGAAATGATGGGGCCAGATGAGCTTTACCACACAGAACATGGGAGATCATGTAAGACAGAGCACTGTGGCACTTTCAAAGAGACACACATTTGCTTCTGGCCCCCATGGAGTTCCAAATTCAGCAGGAACTGAGACTTCCCCTCACAAACAAAAGCAGCATCTTCATCTTCATCTTCCCGCCAAGTTTCCATTGCCACACTTAATAGCTAACTGGGGAAAGAAAAATACAACCCACCACTCCTTTGTTGAAAGATTGCCAGTCCTGGAACAAGGAAGATTGTAGGTTTAGACAAAGGATTGGATGGGAATTCATGTAGAAAAGAGATCTCAGAAAGATAAATGTTCTTTCTACATGTGTCCCTTCCTCCTTGCATTAAAGCATTGCAATGTGTCATTGTATAAGACCTGGGAGAAGGAAGAGATTACTCCTACATCTTCCTGAGTCCCTCACTCTATCAAAACCTTTATCTATGGCAGCCTCTCCCCCTGTCCCAATTTCTGTCTTTGAAACTCCAGTCCCAGGCTTGTCACCTCTGCTGGTTCAGGCAGTAGATGAGTGGGGTCTGCTTCTCTCTTAGGGCAGAGGTCTACTGTGCTGCTGGAATAACACATCAGCTGAGCTGCACCCCATTGTCAATGGGGAGTGCAGGAAAGGGTGTCTGTGGACACCTTGTGAGGGAGGGTGGGGGGAAAAGTGAGTGTGATATCCACAAACAAGTGTCGTGTATGCAGGCAGCTGCTGAGGGCTGGGGGACTGTTGGGAAATTTGTCAACACTGATGAATGCCATAAACTTAAATACGAGGGTAGATCTAGCCCTCGCTTAAAAAACCCCAGACTTTTCTTTAAAGCTGTTCCCTACCCTTACCTCAAAACCCTTTTCAATAATCACACAGAGAACCAGAGAGAGGGGCAACATTGTGTGAAGCATCTTCAACACATGCTTCTGCCGTAACCACGCATGTAACCCAGTTCTCTCAGAGTGATTCAGGTGAGGTAAGACATATGGTTTAAAGTGCATAAACATATCCAGATTATTACAACAGCCTTGGGTTAAGGATCACTATGCATGCAGCCAAGACAGTAGATGTGAAGAGGCAATAATATGCAGCAGGGCAATCAGGATGCTTGCGAGCTGAATAGGTGCTCTAGGACTTTTTGATTCTTATTGCTTTTCACCTGGCCATGCCTCCAAATGCTTCAGATTTTGAACAACAATCGCTAGATCAGTTCACAGAGCAACATGAGCATGAAATGAACATCCAGGAAAAAGAAAAATTAATATCTAATAGTAGAAAAATTATTCATATTTCCCAGTGGATAGATAAAAATAACTTAGGAATATTCTTTCTTCTTTATCATAGCACCTGGTGACTGTTCTCTGTGCAGACAGGCTGCAGTACAAGGGGAACTAATAAGCACATGATTCCATGATTTAAAAAAACCAAAGAAAAACAAACCCCAAGACGGGGAAAATGTGACGATGTTGCACAACAAGGATGTGATTCTCCAACAGCTGGCATCTTTAAAAATTATTTGCAACTGTGGGAGAGACTGAAATACCACTGTGCAGATCAGATGGTTTAGGCACTCTTTAGTGATCCAGAACAGAAAAGGTTTTTTTGGTAGCAGCTGTGGAGTTTAGAGATGAGAATTCTATTTTCATGCAGTATTGGCATCTAATTTTTCTGTGCCACTCTTTCCTACCTATAAAATGAAAGTTGTATTATTTTGCCTCCAGTGTAGTACTTTCACATTTGCACTACAGGCATGTCAGAACAGTAACTATCTCGGTTGGCTCTATGTCTGGGGTAATAAGGATGTAATTTTGCTGTGCTGTCAAGACAAGGAATTACTCAGGAAAGTAATGTCCAGTATAGAACTTGCTTTTTTAAAACTCTTTTTACCAGTTTTCTGATCAACTTGATACTAATGAATATGTAAAAGTGTGACTAGAAATACAAGGAGAGAAGTCACTTCCCTAGGCACAGAAGAGCTTTTGCTCTTGTAGCTACTCCTTGGGTGGAGAGGATGCTATGAGGCAAGCTGCTGTTTCAGGTCCAAAATGATGTGATGAATTTATGCAGCAGCTTTCCTCTATAAGTCACAAACTTTGTGAACAGTCCTTGTGACAACAAGGACAGAGAGGTGAGGAACACAATATTGCCCACTTTACTTCTAGCCTGGAGCATACCCTGGGAAATCCTCTAAGGGAAGCTGAAATGCTTCCCAGTTGTACTGGTTGCTGCAAACAACAAACCTCCCTTTCCCAGCATGAGAACAATCCACAAGTCCACAGCATTTCCTGGTAAAATTCCTCAGGTCACTTTGTGGAGTGAGAGTAGGAAGGACAGTTCCTTTGCAGGGTCCTCCAAAAACCCTAGATAGATTGTTTGGCTCCACATGCACCTCAGAGAGACTCCTTCTCAAGTCCTCCCACTGTGCCAGTCTCAGGGAGAGCATGATCCACACACTGGGTTTTATGAACAGACATTGCAGTGATGGCACTGGCCAGCAGAAGATACTCTCAGATGGCACCAGGTCAAGGGAAAGCAGAAAGTCAGAGTGAGCTTGTGTGTAGCTCACACCATACAATGCTGCCTGCCATTTGTGTGCCTGTTGCTTCTCTTCCCAACTCCACGCAGAAATAATTCATTAAAATTCACTATACAGGGTTTCTGGCAATCCATCCAATGGAAAGCTAGTTTGCTTTCTATTTGGTTGCCCAGGCACTTGTGTGATATCCATACGGAATTATTTTCTTTTCCAGGTGACTCACACAACTAGCCTAAAAGATGAGGCATCAGGATCCACATTCAAACAAAAGTATTATCGGTGCAAAACTTTGAATTCAAAGAAGAGGTGCTGAGATATCCTGCATGGTTCTAATACTTCTTCCTTGCATATAACATTCCATTTTTAATTATATGATTGCAACCTATTTTTTTCCTCCAAACTGGACTGTTGCCTCATTAAATACACAAGACTAGACCTGCTGCTGGTTTAGTTAAGTATTTCTTGAGTCCTTGCTTCAGTTGTTTCAGAAACATGAAGGGTAGGAAAGGGGAGGGAGTGGCTGTGGCTGTATCCATCTGGCCCCAAATCCTGTCTCCAGCAGCGTTCACAAGCAGATGCCAACAGAGGAGAAGGAACAGAGCAAACATGTATCATGCTTCTTTCTCATCCTCTCCAAGCCTTCAACAGTTATCAGCTCAGAAACACTGAGGTCTAGAAGTCTTTACACTTGGTAACTTTCAATGGATTTCTCTTCCACAAAGACATCTGACCTCCATGGAAGCCGTACAAGCTTTCTACATCTTCAACACCTTCACAGAAGTATTCCTGGTTATTCTGAAGGATTGTCTTCAGGAATAGGAGAATGAAATTCTTACCTTGGATTCCATCATTCTAACACCACCAAGCAAGATGCAATACAAAGCAACTAATTTTTTTCTTTTAGAGAGCACTTTTTTTTTCCGTCTGGACACAGAGCATCTCTGGAATTGAAGTAACTTTTAATTATTTATTTTTCCTGTTAAGAATTTGCTTTAGAAAAAATACGGCTCTTGAAAATTGGACATTGTAGCAAATAGATAGCAATTTTAATGATAAAAGTTAACAGATTTATGAGGTAAAGAATAAATTAAAATATTTATAGAATCAGTATTTTTAGGTATAGTCTACAAAGAGATGTAAAACTTAACAGCTACGTGCAGAAGATGGAGTGAACACTTTGGCGTCACTGTTCTATCTTAGAACAAAAACCCCATTTGCTTAAATGCATTAGAGGAGGGTGTTTGATATTTTATGTTGTCTTTGGTCTATCTGGATTTATTTTTTAACTCAAAGAGTGACATCTGTGTTTCAGATATAATTTTTTATATTATTTATA